CCGGATTCCCAAGGGACTCGGTGTTTTGATAGACTTTACGAAGTACGAGGTTGCCGTCTTCGAAGTGACGGCCCTTAACTTTTTTATTGTAGTAACGAGCTGCAAGTTGTTGGTAATTCTGTATCCGGAGTAGTGCTCGTTCGCGATGTTCTTCGACTAAGTCAAGTGCGTCGATCATCATATTGTCATTTGCCTCGGGTTGCTGGGTAAGCATAGTTCGGCGAATGCTTGGGACGTTAAGTTCGGCAGGACACATAGCTTCTGCGCCATACGCAAGGAAGAAAGGTGACTGACCGGTTGAACGTCGCGGTGTGGTTCGATGAGACCACAGGACGCCGTCGAGTTCGTCTGCCCACGTTCCCTTAGCGATATCGAGTCGTTTCTTCAGTCCGTCAATGATGGTCTTGTTCGTGGCTTCGGCTTGTCCGTTGCCTTGCGGATAACGCGGGGTAGAGAAACTTAGTCGGATTTTCCACTTGGCGCAAAAATCTTGGAAAATTATCGAAGTGAACTGGGTTCCATTATCCGTAATGATCTCGTACGGAACTCCGTGTCGACAGATGATGAATTTCCAGACGAACTTCTTGACGTCGATTCCATGGATCTCGGGGTATGCTTCGGCTTCGACCCATTTAGTGAAGTAATCTGTGACGACGAGGACGTACTGCTTCTGGGTTGTAGATCGGCGGAAAGGACCGATGATGTCCATTGCCCAGCGCATGAAAGGATATGGTGCAGTCGAGGTCATCAGGAGCTTGGTAGGAAGATTTATCATCGGACCATGACGTTGGCACTTCTCGCAACGTGCCGTGTACTTCTCGCAATCAGAGAGCATAGTAGGCCAGTAATAGCCGGCTTTCTTGATCTTAAATGCCAAGGACCGAGCTCCGGAATGATTTCCTCTTTCTCCTTCGTGAATCTTTTGCATTACTTCCGCGATGTCGTTGCCGTGAACACAAGTCAAAAGTACACCAGAAGCGTCCCGTCTGAGAAGAGTACCTTTAATGACCACATACCGGGCTGCGCGAGCCTTAAGGCGTCGAGCTGCCCATTTATCTGCGGGAACCGTTCCATCTCCTATGTATCCCACGATTTCCAGGGACCAATCCTCGGGTTCGTCCTCTTCTCCGGCTTCGATATTGATGGGGACGTGCTGGCCTTCGGACTCGTCCTCGGATTCGGGCTCGTTATCGTTAAGCTCGTCTGTATCATTTTCGCGATCGGGGATGACCTCTTTAGGTTTCGTCTTTCGGGTGAGGGGTGGAGCACGGTTTGGCTGGGCTTCGTAGTCACGCCGTCTTGTAATGATATTGCAGTTCGGATCGTGCTCGATACTTGGTCGCTCGAGGGTTCCATGAGTAAGGT